TTGATGCATGAAATTCGTGCAAGGGGCTTAAGCCCTTGCAGTCATGGAGGCTTGCCTCAGTCCTCGAAGCCCTGGCTTCATCCAGAAGGTTGTCTGGAAGGTTGTTCGGCTGTCCAGTCTGATTAGCATATTGTGCTTTTATTATTACAGACGAGGAGAGCCTGCCCATCCTGGTGATTGCTTTGCTGTGAGACAACTTGCTAAGCAAGTGTCCTTCCTATAAGTCACTGGGTCCTAAAGACCAAGCAAGTGGCTTCTCCCAGGGACAGCCAACTGATCCTTCCATTCTACGTGGTGGTGATGATGATGAGGATGATGATGTCTGAGCTCTTTGGACTGAGGAGAGAATAACAGTTCCTCCTATAAACTGCCAGGTCAAATGCCCCAAATTCTATGCCAAGATACCACCTGTACTTTATCCTGGTGAAGACTTGGTCCTGCTGCCATGGCCAAGGAAGAAACAAACATTTATTTTTTTATTTTTAAATTTAAAAAAATATATATTTTATTGATGTTTTAGGAAAGGAAAGGGATAGAGAGTTAGAAACATCGATGAGAGAGAATCATCGATCAGCTGCCTCCTGCACACCTCCTACTGGGGATGTGCCCGAAACCCAGGTACATGCCCTTGACTGGAATCGAACCCGGGACCATTCAGTCCACAGGCCGACGCTCTATCCACTGAGCCAAACCAGTTTTGGCAAAACAAACATTTATTAAGCACCAAGTATCTATAGGCACTTGGTCACATATGACCTCATTTCTCCTTCCTGGGAACTCTTTGAGTAGGTGTTACTATACTCATGAGGACACACACAGGGCTAATTCCTAGAGTGGGATTTGAATCTGAGTTTGTAGACTTCCATAACATGATTTTTCACCACAGCAGCCAAGACCTAACCCACTGTGTCCACCTGAGGTGGCTCATGCACATCTCCTGGTGACCACTAGACCTCACAGTCATTACCACGACTGGATTGCTGCAGGGGTTAAAGAGGACTTGGAACGAGAGGTACTTCCTTTCTCAATTAGAGCCAACTAGAGCTGGCAGATAAAGTCTTAATTTTTCGGAAATAGTCTGTGCTCTCCTTGGTTGGACAACTTTGACCTCTGGTGAAGGCCAGCAGATCTTTGTTATGCCCTTTGGAAAGCTCTGCTTTTTAACAGTTGTGTTTACCACTGAGATGGTTTCCAGACCCAGGAAAGCTTTACAAAGGATGATGCTTGCAAAGAGGCATTAGATTCTCTAATAGGCTTATGCCTTGATAATCATATTAATGGCATTGTCTCATGCTTGATGCTACAATTATGGGCCTCTCCGCTAGCATGCAATTTTGCAGTTTGATAACAATTAGGAGTATGATTTTGCATTTCTCCTTCATGAAAGTTCCATTCACCAAAATAACATGATGATCCTAATTAGAGATGACTGTTCCCTTCAAATCGCTGACCTTATATCCCATCACAATGTCATACACAAGCTGGACTTTATTAACCTGGGAATTCTGAATTTTTCTAGCATCGAGACTCCATGGGATATGGAGCAAATCCCTTGGAATCATGATATTGGTTTCTGGTATCTTCATCTGATAATAAGGTTTTATGTTTCTCTCTTGTTGTAAAGTCAAAGCAATCTTGCCGGGGAGGGGAAGGGTTTGCTGTAGGAGCCAGATAATTTTTAGCCTGTAACTCAATTGCTCAACATTCATGATATTATCTCTACTATCAGGTATTTGGCCTCTAGAAAGCTACTTTGGGGGCCTTCTTTTTCTCATTTGCAAGTTCCAAAGGATTTGGACTGAGATTCTAAGAATGATTCCATCTTTCCATTAGTAATTAATATTTCAACCATCAACAGAGGTGGCTGTTTTTTCCTGTAGTTTTCATGGCCTCCCCTGAGACTGATTAACAGACTAACACAACACTGCTATCCTTCTGGAGCAACCTAAGTCCATAGCATACTAGGATATGAGATTTGGGAATCTGTGCTGCTGATGCTGCCTTCAGAACCCAGCTCAAATGTCACCTCCTCTTGGATTTTTCAGACAAATGGGACCTTATACTCCCTTTGGCCCACATCACAGCTGTAATTACCGTATTTTCCGGCAAATAAGACGACTTTTGAAACAAAAAAAAGTCAACCGAAAATCTGGGGTTGTCTTATACGCCAAGTATATCCCGAAAAACGTCTCGATATGCTGCTAAACGAATTTTCCAACTCGATCCCACACCAATCACTGCAAGGCTGCTCGGACTGCCTCTCTAACTCAGCCAATCCAAGCAGGCTTTTTATGCATGCAAATTATACATGTTCTGTTCCCGAAGCTACGCTGTGTTCTAGTTTTTAAAAAGCCTGCTCAGATTGGCCAGAGTCAGAGAGGCGGTCTATTAAAAAAAGAACTGGTGTTGCCTCGGAAGTGGGGGGTAGTCTTATACAGCGAATATAGGCCCAAACCTATGTTTTAACTGCAAAATTAGGGGGTCGTCTTATATGCCAGAAAATACGGTATATAATTGATAGTGCATTTACTTGTTAAGCCCTCTCTCTCCAGCTAGACTGTGAGTGCCAAGAAGGAAGGGTTTGCCTGCCATGTTCACCACTCCAGTGCCTAGCCCTGCGCTGTGTACCTAGTAGATGGTCAACACATACTTGTTAAATATATGAATATTTAATTTAAATAACTAAATAACACATCTATACCTAATGATGATGGACTTAAGCCCCAACTCAAGAGCAAAGACTACAGCCAATTGGTTGCGGGATTTAGTCCCCAAAGACAGCATAATTGTTACAGGTACACTTTCGGCCGCATTAATTAATAGCTCAATGGAGAGAATGCCCTTATTTTTTTAAATTTCAGGGCCTGCGCAGCTTTTGGCAGCTGCAAAGGATACAAGCTGATTTCCTTGTTGGCTGCCAGCTGACAGTGTAGCAGTTCCTTAACTAAAAACTCCTTGGCTAGCAGTTCCTGAAAGTCTGTCTGTGGCTAGTGGGAGTACAGTTAAAGGGGAGACATATATGCACAGAAACAATATCACCAACCCGATGGCACAGAAAGTCTTCAAATGTTGGGGTTCAACCATAGCAATTAAAGAACAGCTTACAGAGACTTTATTTAAACCAAGGCACATGGACTCAGAATTAATTATCTTAACACAAAGTGAAAGATCTAGACTTTGTTTATTCATATATTAATACTTTCTGTAGAGTTCTTACAGATACTCTTAATTTCTCTAAAATGTGTATTAGCTTTCTAAATTATGACAGTTAACATACTGGAAAAATACAACATTTTAGGTCAGCGAAGGTATAAAATTCATTTCTCCTCCTCCAACACCCCTATCCCACACTGGGGTTAATGAGGGTTACCATTACCCCAAGTTACCTAAGATGTTTTTTTCTATGAATATGCAAAAATCTAGCTTGTTTCTTGGATATCATGCTGTACTCTTAGGAGAATCATGTGATCCACATAAAAGCAAAAAGGCTGCAAATAAAAACTTCCCTAGATCTGACTGAGAATTCCTGTTTCTAGTGGAACCGCGTGGCTCAGCGCATCCAGCCACACGCTCTTCTTTTGCTGAGCTCACAGGTGCCTGAGATTCCTACAGAAGCAATTTTGGGCGAATTCCGCCTCAGAAAGGCTCCTATAAAATGCAAATAGTCGAGGGTGGAGTGTCCTTAATTCCTCAGTCTCATTATCTAAAAGGGGAACGCCGCTCTTTTCCCGGAGAGATAAGGACCAAAGGAGGTGAGGCGGCCTTCCAATACGCTTGCGACTGGGCCACTCGGGACAAGCTGGCTGCTCCGGGCCTTTCAAACCAGGGCCACCTCTCCTGATCGCTCTGCGCCCACCTGGGGTCCCCAAGGTTGTGTCAGCAGCGGCTCGGACTCGGTTTAGACTGCAGTGCTCCGGCAAGCCCGCGGGGGCGCTGGCGGTCCCCAGAGTTCTGAGTGTCTTTGGCGCCAAGCCCCGACCATCCGCGGGGAGCCTGTGTGTGCATGTGTGTGCGTGCGTGTGCGTGCGTGCGTGCGTGTGTGTGTGTGTGTGTGTGTGTGTGTGTGTTAGAGTTCAGCCATTTAGGTTGCACCGAGGTGTACGCCCTGCCCCTTGGGTAACTTTGTGTTACCATTCCCAGAGACACCCGGGAATCCTCGAGGAAACCTGCAAGGGGAAGTAAACCCTCCCCACCCTCCTCCCTCACCATGCCCTAAGCAGCTTCACAAATCTGAAGATAGGGTGGCAGCGGCAAATAGGGCACCGCCCGCAGGCCTGGGAATCTAGGGCATCCTCTGGGAACCTAAGAACGTGGGCAGAGAGCGGTGGTCCAGCCCCGCTTTGGCCCTGGCTCCCCCTTTTCCCCACCTTCCCCGGTGGGACCTCGCGTTTTGCGGGGACGCAGCCGTCCAAGCACTTGGGGTACGGCCGGGCCCGGCGTAGGTCGGGTCACAAACCGGTTTTAGCCAAAAAAGGTTCCTGCAGCCCAAACGGGCCATGGGTTTAGTTCCCCAAATCAGACAGACACACTCCAGGAGGGGCGCCCTGCCGCTGGGGGGGTTTGGGTCGGACAGGACATGGACGATAGTTCTGTTGAACTTCCAGCTGCCCCCCCTTTTCCTGGAGGGTCTGCTTTTGGGGTCGCTCCCCTCCAGCTCAGCCTTTTGCGTCCCAGGTGCGGTCCCGGGGAGCCAGGAGGAGCGCCGGCCGGGTGGGTCGGGGCGCCAACCCGCTGACAGCGGCCGCCGGGCCTTCCCCAAACTCCGGCGGCTGTCGGCGGGGGGCGGGGCCGGGCGGTGACGTGAGGGGCGGGGCCGCCGCTGATTGGCCGGCCGGCCGGGCCGGGGCGGGGCGGCCGGGGCGCGCAGGGCGGGGCCGGGGCGGGGAGCCGGAGCCGGAGCCGGAGCGCGGCGCAGCTGCCGGGGCGGCAACAAGTGCGGAGCCCCAGCCCAGCCGGCGCTGCTCGCGTCGCCGACACCGACGGAGGGGCCGCCAGTCGCGGGCGCGGCGCATGGAGCGTGAGCGGCGGCGGTCGCCGGGCTGAGCCGCGCCGAGCGGCCCGGACGTGGATGTGGCCGCGCTGTCCCGCCCCCGCCCCGCCGAGCAGAAGCTGCTGCGGGACAAGGTAGGGCCGAGCGGGCGTGCACCCCGCCGCTTCCCTCCCCCAGGACTGCCCCAGGCCGGCTCCGCTCCCCCCCCAAACTGCTCCCGGGAGGCACCCCCCCGCCACCGCACCCAGCCACCGGCCTCTGGGTTCGCCAGCCCGAACCCCATTCCCCGCCGGCGGCTCCGGCTTCGTACCGGCGTCTCCGCGGAGGGAGCGGCCCCAGGTGGCTCCTGCCGCATTCAGCGTCTCCCCCCGCACCCCGCACCCCGCCCCCCACCCCCCACCCCAACCCCGCTCGGCGCCCCCTTCCGTACCTGAGGCTGGGAGAGGATGGGGAAAGCCCACGGCAGCGTGTCTTTGGAGCTTGTTGCCCCATCCCAAGGGCCCGGGGATCCGGGACACCCCCCCCTTCACCCCGCCGCACCCCAACTTCCGGGGGAGCCCGCGCCAGGGTGCTGCAGGCACTGGGAAGGGGCGTGTGGAGCCAGGCGTCCTCTCCGGGGTGTCTCCGGCTTTTGGGGGAGCGGGGCCGTGCGTGAATTCGCTCCCGCACCCTCGCACCCCACCCCGGCGCCGGGCCCCCGCGCCGCCGCAGGGGGAGACCAGGTGTTTCGTAAGCCCCGGAGCCGCCACGGCCTCTCCCCTCCAGCCGCTGCCACGGCCACCTCCGGGTCCCCCAAGACCGGCTTCTGCTAAAACTTGGGGGGAACCTTTCGCTGTGACCTCTAAAAAAACATGCCCCGGCGCCCGCGGTGAATGATTTACCCGGCGCAGAGCCGGGAGGGGCGCGCCAGCGGCCTCTGCGAAGCGCCTCCCGGGAGAGGCGCCGGGCGCCGGGGTGCACCCCGCGGGGCTGGGCCGTGGGCGGCAGGCGGCCCTCCTGGAGGCGATGAGACGGAGTTACCTTAATTCCCAGGCACTTTGCACTCTGAGCTGGGGAGCCCCGCGCCCCCTGGACTCCCCACAAGTGGCCCAGCGCGGAAGCGCATCTGTGAGAAGAACATGCACCTTGTCATCCCTGGCGGTCCAGGAGGCTCTCTGGTTCCTGCCCGAAACGTGGGGGTGGTGCTGGTCTTTGCTCCCCTGCCACCCATGGCCCCCGCACCCCTTTTCCCCCCCAATCTTCGTAGAAGGATAGCTGAGAACAATTATATCCTCCTGCCCCTCCCTTTTGGGAGCCAGTTGCTGGAAATGGGCTCCTACTTGTTATAATAAATTTTTTCCAGAGTAATTGTGCCTCGGAAGGGGATGGGATGGTTAAGGACGAGGCCGGCTGAGCCGGGACTGGAAAGGCGGGGAGGAGTGATCTCAGTCCACTCCAGGGCTCTCGGGCCGCCTCGTGGTCGCACCCATTGCAGATCTTGACAACTGACCCAAGGTCTGGGCGGCCACTTCCCACTGCCCTAGTTTTCACTTCTGTTTCTTTTGAATTAGAGGTGGTTAAGCCCGGTGGAATTTGGGGAGGGTTTTACACAGAGTCTCTGTACTCTTAAATCAGATTAGATTTTAAGACCAGGTTGAGTAAACCTTCCCCTGCTGACCAGCCTTATCAAATGCCGTTATCTTTAGATCTTTTTGAAATGACTTTTTTCCCCCCCTCCTGTTTGCAACACAGCTTTCCCCCTTAGAAATCTCCCTACAGCAGGTGGCCACTGCTCTCCGTGGAGATTTTGTGCAGATGGCAGGTGTATGGTGAAAGGTCTAATTCTCCATGAAAGTTCAGAGTTTCCACCCTCACTGCTCACTACTCTTGGTTCTACCCGGTACTGTGCAGGGACCCTGGGCGAGGTTAGCATCCCTGCTCGTTTTCCATATCTGGTTTTGGGGATGGGAAATGTCTGCTCTACCACAGTAGTTTCTGAGGGAAACCAATTTGCCTAACTTTGCATCCTGGCAGTTAAGAAGTGCTTAACGAGTGGTGGACATTGTGTCATCCGTATAAAGGTTCCTCCATGCACCAACTTCCCCTTGGACGGAAAAAAAAGTAACTTGTGGAAACGGTTTGGATTTGTCTGGCTGAAAGATACTAACGTTGCTAAAAATAGTAAAGTGAAACTGGTAATTTATGGTTGATTTCCCGCCCCCCCCCCCACTGTACATTTTGTTTAAATGAATGGCTTTAAGAAAAAGTTACATTAGGAAATTAATGTGTCCAAATAGTCTTAATCATTTTTCTTTACATGACACATTGTTGGTACAAAGCTAAGATAGTCTTGATAGAGATATGTGGGTCTTTTCCCAACTGACTTAGGGATACGAGAAAAGGTGGTGACTCTTTCGTTTCACAAAGAAACGTTGAAGCTTTAAGGTTTAGTTTTTTGGTAATGCTGATTTAAAAAAAAACAAAAACAAACACAACAAAAAGAAACATAATTTGGGGGTGCTGACCCAGAGCTGTGGAAGCGCCTGCAGCACTTTCTGTTCTTACCATACTGGGTCAGTGCTTTTAGTTCTTTCTAATTTTGCCTAAGAGCTACAATGTTTGACTCGACTCATTGGACAGTATTATTGGACATTTTATGAAAGACTAAAAAATTAATACATGCAAACAGTTACTTTTATAAACATTGAGATTCTTGCATCTGGGATAACATTTGGTTATGTAATCTATTACCACACATCAGTGGTGGGGTATGAGTTACCAAGTACTGAAAATTTTCCATAAAAGGCCTTTTGATCTTATATATGCAGATGCCCAAGGGCAACAGAAATCATTCCAGTCAATTGCCTGCCATTTCTAGTGTGCACAGAAGGCTAAAATGTGAATTAAATTGGACTCTGACCATTGGAAAGTTGGCTTTCCCGAAAGCACCTAGTAAAGACCAACAGGTGTGGGTCCAGCTGCCTTCTCCCGACCCCCCAAGGTGTGATAACTGTTACTAGGGGCTTGCCAAATGTGTCTCCACATTGTAGGAAGAGAAAATTCCTCTCTCTGGGGAGGCAATTACTGTTTGAATTAAGAGGTGCGCAAGCACGTATGTGTGGGATAAAGCTTTGAGAGGATTGATGTAATGATTTCATCATCAAAGGCTGGCGATGAGGCTTTGCTAGTCTGGACAAAACTTCTGTGGGAAGAACTTGTTACTTGATGAGGAATTTGTTACTGGAGCCTGTGTGTCCCAATTACTTTACTGCTGGGAAAAGTCACTTGTATGAGTTTTCTCTGTGTTACAACTCATGGCTGAGATTTTGCATTCACTGAGTGTTGCCCCTACTGTGAGTTTTATCCTCCTTGTCCACTAGCTTTGTCTTCTAGTCTTGTTTTAATTCTTGTAACAAACAAACAAACAAAACAAAAACAACAACAAAAAACAAAACAAAAAGAACAAGCTTCTTTTATCAACTTTGTTGATAAAGTTATAACATATGTCTTGAAATAGTTGCTGTAATTTTAGGCTTAGGCATTTACATAGATAGCTCTATGAATACTGTTACAAATTATCTTCTGTGTATTTATGAACATTACCTTGGAGCAGGGCTTACACTGGTTTTCATTCAGCCTGCCTGCTGCTGGTGGTCCAGCGGTGAATGTAGGCCTTTGAACCAGGAGATCACCATTGGATTCCAGGTCAGGGCACGTGCCTGGGTTTCTGACTCGATACCCAGAAGGGGGTGTGCAGGAGGCAGCTGATCAATGATTCTCTCTCTCTTTCTCTCCCTCTCCCTTCCTCTCTGAAATAAATAAAAAACATATTAAAAATAAAATAAGACCAATAAAAAACTTGTTTGTTTTTATTCTGCTGTGGCTACAGGGGAAATTCCCAGTACCCAGGAAATGGATACTGTCTACTTTTCGCTCTGTGGCATTTAAAAACACATTTATTATTCTAATTTCTTCACTCTGGTGTGTGGTTAGGATGTATGTAGCTTACCAGAATGTTTTTAAGAACTGATTTTTCTAAGAGAATCAATTTCAGATTGTGGCTATGTTCTGTCAGTGTGGCTATGTGGTGATTTAGTGGTTAAGAGCACGAACTTGGAGTCAATCAAATGAGGACTTTTTTTTTTTTTTTTTTTTTTTTTTTTTAGCTTGAGGTATAGCAAACAGTAAAGTATGTGAAGTGCATTAATATTAAGTGTGCAGCTGATGGATGTGTGTCCGCCACCCATCACGGAGTAAATGTTTTCAGTAGCCTGAAATGTGCCTGTGCTCCTTCGGGTCAGTGTTCATTCACAGAGGAAACTGATATTCTGACTTAATGTCATTTTAGCTGTGACTCACGTCATCACAGATGGGTTTTGTCTGTTCCTGAATGTCAAATAAGTGGAATTACAGAATCATACAATGTGTAGTCTTTTGTGAAACAAACCTGGATTTGATTTCCATTTTGCAACTCACTGGGTGACCGTGGTTACGGTGTGACTAAGTTACTTAACCTCTCTGAATCTCAGTTTCTCATTTGTGAAATGGAGAATGAAAGTCCTGTTGTAATAGATTAGCTAAGGATATTAACGTGATGAAACAACTAAAATACCTACCTGCAGTTTCCTCATTCCCCTTTTATTTCTTTAAAAAGGTGGTGCCTAAAGCAACTGTACAATATATGTTTTGATATGCTGTTTCATTATCTATAAAAATAAAAGCATAATATGCTAATTAGACCAGACAGCCAGACAACCTTCCTGACGAAGCTGGGGCTGGAGGGCTGAGCCCCTTGTACAAATTTCACGCACCATGCCTCTAGTAAACTTATAAAGGTTTCTTATTGAAACCTAGAGGCCAAATCTTGACTCAATGTTTTGTTGACCTAGTGTTCAGCTTAAAGTAGACATTATTTCTTAATAGTTGATCCCTTATTATTTTTAATTGACATTTGCTCTAAAGTCATGAGATGACAGTCATTGAAATGTCCCATTCAGAGCTGGTGGCTCCCCTGAGTGATGTGATTGGGTGTGCAGGAGGAGGGTGCAGAGATGACAGCTAGTTTACACTCTACCAAAAGGCCCATGGAAGAGTTTAGTTTCAGTAAGAGGCATCAGTAAGTGCCCAGGATGCCCAGAACAAAATTTACAGCTTT